GCTTCTCTCCAGGGCCGGGCTCAGGCCGAGCAGATCCGGGCCCCACTAGGGAAGGAGGAGATAAATACCGCGGGCCTGTGTCGCCTGCATCCTCCATGGGCTCCACACTAGCGTCCTCGGCGCTGGGCGGCTCCTACGTGGAGGTGAGGAGGGCGGAGCGCGGCATGAGACGCAAAAGGCAGAACAGTGAAGGGGACTCGTTGGTCTGGGATCGACATCGAGGGTGCGAAAGTGAGAGCGAAATGGTGTCGTCGACGTCGTCTCTAAGAATTAACCAGCGCCGCGGGTCTGAGGGCAGCGATGTAGAAGAAGTTAAGAAGGGAGTGTTCATGCAGCTGCTGCAGAAGGTCCGGTCACGTGATGAGAAGAAGAAGCACGACTATGAGAGTGACGCTGACGAGGGTCGAGCATCGTCAAGAGAGCGTGGCGCCGTTGGTCGAGTGGTTCACAGGCTCTCTCGAACCAAGGTCATGCCCGACCATCACCCTGACTGCTACGTCGACCTCGCGGCCGCCGCATTTGATGCTTCGGCAGTTCCTGAGAGGCCAAAGTCTGCCTGTGATAACACACTGTTGCGTGCAGCCGCCAAGCTGTACTCTGGAATAGGTTCAGTACGAGGTATTAGTAGCGAACCAGAACCCAACCACGGCACTAGTGCCGAGCGGCTAGACGATAGCCAGGCGAGAGCAATGGTCGCTGCCTGTCGCTCCCGCGAGAGTTCTCTAGGACGGGCGCGGTCAGCGGAGCGGGAGGCGGGCGGAGGCGGGGATCAGGACTCCCAAAGCCGTGCCAGTGCCTCAGGTGCCCAGGGGGTCAAGGAAGGTCAGGAGAATTTAACTTAGGGGAAGTAAAAGCCATCGTTCACGCTGAGCAACTGGGGGGACCCAGTCGCAAATCTCCTGGCCGTAAAGATATTGAGACCATATACGCCGTGGCCACTGTACCCCGCAAGACTACGTCAAAGAAAGAGAACATCTACGAGAATGTTCCGATATCGACGGACATGTCCGTCGGCAGATCTTACCGGGACGACCCTCACTCTCGGCCGGTGTTCAAGAAGCAGAACTCTCTGGACGCCCTGCCGTCAGACTCCGGGAGGAGTGGCACGTCACGTAAAAACGAGAGTGGTGGCGGCATGACGACCGTGAGACATGGCACACTGAGGAAGGCGGACAGCTTCGAGGGTCACGAGGAGGCGGTGAAGACCCTGGTGGCCGCTGTGCAGGAAACAAGAATATTAAGGCGAAAGAAGACTAAATGATCATCAGTTATAGACATAATTTTTAAAAAGACGTCTTTTTACAAGTATTTTGAAGCTCATCATTGCCTGCAGCTGAGAAAACTATATTTCTTTTTCTTCTTTCAAATCCATTTTCAGTGCTGGATAAATCAAAATAATGGCCTGCCTAAAGTGTGATCCTGGAAGAAAAAAGTACGAAAGAAAACATTTAAGTTAAAACACATGAAAGGAACGAACCCCCAAGATGGAATATTTATGTGAACTCTGACGTTACCAAAGATATTGTGCTGGTTAAAAAAAATGTGTTAAGTGTTGTGAAGATAGAAACTAAGTAATAATGATGTGTTCGCTGAGTGTTAGATACGAAGATGTGTTAGCAATGGTGTCAGTAAAGAGTGTCCTGTCGCAGTGAAAAACACGATCAGACTGGCGAGTGTATGTGTGTGTGTAAGGCAGTGGACCAGACTGACTTGACCTCAAAGCATCGTCAGTTCGTGTCGCAGGATGGTCCAGTGTTTGCCTCAGTACATCAGTGGGGAAAAATATATAGTCTTTGCATAGCAATTTCACATTTAAGAGTATCGAATTCGAATCGACACGGCTGAATGATTGATATTCTCTGTCATCAAACATCGTAGTATATTTTTATGGAGTTGTGTGAGGTTGTACGAGAAGCTCCACAGGCCTGACGATGGGCGACGCTTTCCGGTGCTTTACTGGCCAACAACAAACACATTATATTATTATGTACTCTGTTCACGGAAGATGATGGTAAGAGTGTTAGTGTTCTCTCATAGGAATGTGTCCTAAGACGGTCTTTTATACATATAAAAAAAAGTTCTATAAACATTTCCAAAAACTAAAAAAAAAAATACGAGCCAACTTTTTAAAACAGCTGCCAGATGTAGGAGACTTAAATATTCGCCAGCTTCCTCGTAGCAGCTCCCCAGTAGTGTCGTGAGGGAAGACTGTGGGGTTCACCCTCAATATTGGTTAAACTCTCCCACAAAGAACTCAAACATTCAGGATTTTAGGAAATGTAGTGCAGCGATAGTAACCCCCCCTGTGGGTCAAATACTGAACATGGGGGAATTATTCTACCATAAATCAAAAGCTATAGACTAGGGCGCTACATGGCTAACAGATCAAATAATTTTGTCTTGAGACACAAAAGCAACTAAATCAAAAAATATATATATATATATATATAAAAAAAAGAGGAAGAACTAGTGCTAGAAGTCTCAAAAAATATATATACATACCTAGTTTTTATCCCAAGTTTCTCATGTGGATTGACTGTAGAGATTCATCTTCCTGCGCGGCTGTTGGTACTCTCTCTCTCTCTGGGTTATATTGTTTATCTCCCTGTCTTCTACCATGTCTTCCTTCTCGTCCCTGCTTTTATCCTTATTCTGGATATTTTACTGTACACCCTAGTTTTCTCTCTCTCTCTCTCTCTCTCTCTCTCTCTGTGTGTGTGTGTGTGCTGTCTTTCTCTTTCTTATGGACTTTACTTACTTTCTTGTTGTCTCTTGGTCAAGCTCTTCCTATTTCACATTAATAATATTACACACATATATATATATATATATATATATATATATATATATATATATATATATATATATATATATATATATATATATATGAATATATATACACACACACACACAGACATGTACACTTTGCTGTAGGATAAACTCATTCTGTTTCATTTCTTTATAAAGTGTTGCGTTGGCCTCCGATATCGTCTAATTTTAATAGTTTTATATAAATATTTATAGTGGTAGACAAACGTCGTTGATACAGTGTGTTGACTATGAATCACGGTCATCCAACTTTTATAATAGTATACGCGGTCCGTTGAAGATAAACTCCCATATAGGTTTTGGTCCTATATGTTATACTATACTGAACTAGGTCACCTTATATGGAGATAGAGAGCATGTTCCCTTTACGTAGGCAAAGTAATACTAGGTCCCTAGCATTTAATTATATGGCATTTAGGGTTATCTATAATATACAGAATTTTGTAAAAAAAAAATAATAATAATAATAATAATGCAGCATAAGGTTGGGGATTTTACTTCTTCAAGACCTGTTGAGTGTGGTTCACGGTGGCTGCTGCTACCTCCACACCTTCACTTGTTGGCCTCATGTCGATACATTGTCTTTGTTGATACACATACACCAAGAAAAAAAATGTCTTTGTTGGTTACACAACATCCAGGCATTTTGTCGAGAGTGTATGATCCAGAATACTTAATTTGTTGTTATAGTGACACCTAGAAAAATTGTCTGTTGGTTACTAAACATCCATTCTGTCGAGTGTATGGACTAGAAAAGTGTCTACGTTGATGCACAGGCACTTACACATATTGTGTTTGTTAAAGCTCAAACATACTGAAATAAACTTGTTGATTTCTTTCTAAACATTCAAGTATCACCCATGTTGATAATATGTCCAACAACTGTCTCTGGCCGACCTGTCAATGTTCAAAACAATAAGACAGGCAATGGCGGGCGAGCGAAGCACCGACCCCACTGGCTGTGTGTAGTATTGATACATCGAGGCTCTCTGCTCCCCCTCCCTTCCTTCACCTTTCCTGTCTTGCTTTAGTTACGAATTCATCTACTTTCTGTGGGTTGCTCAAGAAGGGAAGATCCCATGTTAACTGTGGAAGAGATGAGGGGCCGCCAGAGTTCCCGGCGTGAGACAATCATTGTTGCTCCTCCACCTTGGCACCCTGGGGACGCCGCCCTTGCTGCCAGCCTTTGCCTCACACTGCCTGCCTCATCTTATGTTCCAAACCCTACCGTCTGCCTCCTGTTTCAACTTAACCTCCACACACTGTATCGCAGACCCAAACTTACAAACGTTCACAAACTGACGCACATGTACTGTTGGCCACGTCCACTTGTAAGTCAGTTCAACTAGTGGGGACTCTTTATGAAGTCATCATCTGTCCTCCAGAACTGAGGAACTGGTGATGTGATGAGTCGCACTCCAGTGTTGACAAGTTCCACCAGACTTAGCCCAGCCCATCCAGCCTTAGTTATGATAAAGTATCCTTGGCTTTATAATTTAGAATATCAGGAATCAGACCAATTTTGTTGTGAATCTGTGTGAACTCTAGAATTAAAAGAAATACGATAAGCTGAGTGTCTTGTACGAGAAAAAAGGTGTTTGTGGCAATCAGGGTAGATTAACTCCCCCGGTGCGCAGCCACATATACGACAAATTCTCTTGAAAATTTAATAAGAAAATGACGCCTCTCTCTATCAAGAATATCTAACAACTGTGTCTGGTTAAAACAAGTGACTGTAGCCCCTGTCCTGCCTCCAGTAAACAAGAGCTCCACCTTGACACCTTCTGGATCCAGCCCAGGGCGCAGTGTATATTATTATATTTTACTGTAAATTACTTAAATCAAACCAGAATTGTTACTCTAACCAAATCTAAGTTGATTTAATCCACTGTAAGATGTTCGCTGTAAAAATTAATGTGTCAAGTCTGCTACACAACATACTGTACACTCTGAACTATCAACATTGTTTGTCTTATGAGAGTTGATGGCGTGAGTCTCAGGTGCTCACCGAGGTGTGTTTCTTATACTGTACAGTCAGCTGAGGTGATGATGGCGTGAGTCTCAGGTGCTCACCGAGGTGTGTTTCTTATACTGTACAGTCAGCTGAGGTGATGACTACTGCTTCAGTTCAGTGATAATCTCATCTGTTCATTAATTTCATCACTATAGTAAACTTAGCCATACAGCTCCGTATTTTGTTCAGACAATTCATTTTCATTTGACCTTTTAATGTACTGTACAGCTGTATATCATATTTAAACTGTTATTTTGTAGAAAATTTACTATTTACGTCTTTCTAAGACCTACAATTTTATTTGTATAAAGAAAACTATTTCCACAAAATCTTGCCGTCTTCGGTCAGAGGTTTACTCCCCCGGTGGTGTGTACTTTACACAGACAACAGTCACAGCGATATAATTTCCACAAGACAAAATCCTGACACCAAAATTATATACCGAACAAAATTTCTAGAATCCACATTTTTTTAAGACTTTAAACCCTTGTCAAGTTTAGTTAGTTTTGGTTAGGACAGGTTGGCTTCAAGCCAACCTCCTGGCAGTAGAAGGATCAAACAGTGTAACCAAGTGTTGGTAGGAAGGTTCTGAAACACTAAAGTAAACTTTACATGGCGTCGTTTTCAGCCTAGTATTCCTTTGTCATGTGATGCTCGTGTAAAAATAGAATTTATTTTTCATCTAGCGAGCACCATCACTACTGGCTGCCACCGAGTACTGTACTGTATGAGGGAAGGAGTTGGTAGTTCCGTAGGTTTGATTAAGGTATTACACTACACGAGTGACCCTGATTAAAGTTCATAATCTAAGGGGATAGGAGGAATGATGGTCACGTGATACCAAAGTGCCATCTGGTGACGCGCCCAGGAACCAAACGCGGTGGGATCCTAAAGAGAGTACGTGAGAGGAGGAGAGTTTGTCCCTGGAGTGTTGGCTTGTGGAATCCTAAAGAGAGTACGTGAGAGGAGGAGAGTTTGTCCTGGAGGTTGGCTGTGGGATCCTAAAGAGAGTACGTGAGAGGAGAGTTTGTCCCTGAGTGTTGGCTGTGGATCAAAGATGAGAAAGTTTCGGAGTGTTGGCTTGTGTGGGATCCTAAAGAGAGTACGTGAGAGGATGAGAGTTTGTCCCTGGAGTGTTGGCTTGTGTGGGATCCTAAGAGAGTACGTGAGAGGAGGAGAGTTTGTCCCTGAGTGTTGGCTTGTGTGGGATCCAAAGAGAGTACGTGAGAGGATGAGAGTTTGTCCCTGGAGTGTTGGCTTGTGTGGGATCCTAAGAGAGTACGTGAGAGGAGGAGAGTTTGTCCCTGAGTGTTGGCTTGTGTGGGATCCTAAATCGTGAGAGGATGAGAGTTTGTCCCTGAGCATAAGAGAGTACGTGAGAGGAGGAGAGTTTGTCCCTGGAGTGTTGGCTTGTGTGGGATCCTAAAGAGAGTACGTGTGAGAGAGGAGAGTTTGTCCCTGAGTGTTGGCTTGTGTGGGATCCTAAAGAGAGTACGTGAGAGGAGGAGAGTTTGTCCCTGAGTGTTGGCTGTGTGGGATCCTAAAGAGAGTACGTGAGAGGAGGAGAGTTTGTCCCTGGAGTGTTGGCTTGTGTGGGATCCTAAAGAGAGTACGTGAGAGGATGAGAGTTTGTCCCTGGAGTGTTGGCTTGTGTGGGATCCTAAAGAGAGTACGGAGAGGATGAGAGTTTGTCCCTGGAGTGTTGGCTTGTGTGGGATCCAAGAGAACGTGAGAGAGAGAGTTGTCCTGGAGGTTGGCTTGATCCAAAGAGAGACGTGAGAGGAGGAGTTTGTCCCGGAGGTTGCTGTGGGATCCTAAAGAGAGTACGTGAGAGGAGGAGAGTTTGTCCCTGGAGTGTTGGCTTGTGTGGGATCCTAAAGAGAGTACGTGAGAGGAGGAGAGTTTGTCCCTGGAGTGTTGGCTTGTGGGATCCTAAAGAGAGTACGTGAGAGGAGGAGAGTTTGTCCGGAGGTTGGTGTGGGATCCTAAAGAGAGCGTGAGAGAGGAGAGTTTGTCCCTGGAGTGTTGGCTTGTGTGGGATCCTTAAGAGAGTACGTGAGAGGAGGAGAGTTTGTCCTGTTTGGCTTGTGTGGATCCAAAGAGAGTACGTGAGAGGAGGAGAGTTTGTCCCTGGAGTGTTGGCTTGTGTGGGATCCTAAAGAGAGTACGTGAGAGGAGGAGAGTTTGTCCCTGGAGTGTTGGCTTGTGTTTTGATTCTCTGGCTTATCCATTTTTTCTCTTTAAACGTAGAAGGAAGAGGATAAGGGATACAACAGATGACAATGACACATACAGTAATACAGCCGACACTCCACGATACAGTCAACACTACACAACAAGTACACTGCCGTACAGGGACACAGCCTGCAGGTCTTGAGGAACTGTAATGTATACAGGTAGTGAGGAGGACAAATAATGAGAGGATACTAGGCAGTGAAAGTATACAGGTCAACATGCATATAGACAACGCAGGTATACAGTTTCCAAAGTACCTAGAGAGTGCGAGTATACAAACAATAGTAAATGAGTCGGCGAGAAGTAGAGCAAGGATTGATGACGATTTAGACGTGAAGGAAGGTGGTGTAACAAATTATCTAATGAGTGAGGTAATAGGAAGTAACGTGTTGATGACTGTTAGTACAAGTAAACACAATACATTCAACCACCACTGCCAGTTTGACTCCCTTACCGTAACAAATATTTTTAACCCCAGTCCTTTGTCAATCCAAGAAGGTGAGTAATGTTAAGTTTTGGGTTGGTTCTAGGTATGAGGAATGTGTGCAAGAAAAACATTGTTACAGGCGAGACAAAACTGACAAATTATCTTGTTTTGGGGAAGACGAATAGTATTTGAATTTTAAAAGCATTTAATATAT